AGGATTGGTAACAACAGTGCTTGGGTTTTTGTCTATGCAGCATTTTCCATTACACAACAAAAACACAGATGTTCCCTGCTGCCTGGTGGGCACGTGTCTGGCCACCCTACGGAAAGAACAGAGGCCCCTGTCATACGACACAACACGAGTACATGTTCATCACACAACCAGAGAGGCACGCAAGAAAAAGCGACAGTGCACTAGTTTTGAGTAACATAATAAATACGGGGCACGGGGCGGGGGGGGTTACCAGTGTTTACCCATTCTCTTGCAACTTTATTTGCAATAAATACTCACTGGATCCCTGCGAGCCAGAGTAAATATCTTTAAGTCATTCAATATACTTTCGTTCAAGCTCAGGGTTCTAACGAGCATTTTGACACCAGGCAGGTCATTGGTTGTTGCCCTTCTTACATTAAATGACCTATAAAAAAAAAAAAAAAAGAGGAAAAAAGGGAGTAAAAGTTCACTCTGTGACAAATTAAAGACAATTCCCATGCTTAAGACAACAAGTCTTCCATAAACACCAAACACGTCTTGGAAGTTGAAATTGGTTGCTATATCACTATTGTTCCAAATGCATATATTAACCTACTGCCCGATAACATAAAAGACCACAGAGTATCTACTCAAAACAACTCAAGAATGCTCCTTCAGCTGCTACTAAACAGTCCTTCTGCACTTACAGCCCAATCCCATAAAGCGATGACTAGCTGCAACCACAGATACCATCCAGTCTTCATGTGAACGAGAGCCAGCAGAGGAAGGAGGCAAGGAATCTTTTAAAATGGAAGGAGAATCCATAACTGCACACTAACACATATGAGAAAAGTGAAAGACAAGAAACAGAGAAAGATAAGAAAAAAAGAAAAAAGGAGAGAGAGAAAAATTAAAACAAACAGAGCCAACTGTCATCCTCGGCCGTGGTACAAACGGCAGGCATAACGTCGACTTCTCCAACAAGAACGTGACCATCATTTGTGTTAGGCCTCGTTTCCTCAAATAGTAATACATGAGGATAAACTTACATGAATACAATGCCTCTGACAAGCATAAGATTGCCAGTTAGTAATCACACAGCAGTGACACGGTGTGAAAGTGTCTGTGCAACACACCCAACCAGCAACCCGTTAGCTACAGGCAGCAGTATCCTGGCCTGTACCCGGTTTACACACTCTGTTACACAACATCTTCCCACCCGCTAATTCTGAAAAAAACGTGCTTCACAGTGCCGGTCCACAGCAGCTGAGGAGCTCTCTCAGCTCTGACCCTTCCTGGTTAAACACGGCTCGTACAACAAAGTGCTGTTCAAGGAACCGAATTACAGCTTAATCTCTAAGAATTAAGTGCTTTCGCCCACAGTATTTGCCGTATAATTCCCACTCCTGTCCTCCTTGTTTTCAGTTTAAACTTGTACACGCTATTCTTCAGCCTAAGCCACAGTCACACGGAGACTGATTCTGTGGAACACGGCTTTGATGGACAGCCTGGCACCTTAGAAAGCCAGACTTACCAAATACCTGACACGTTACGGAAAATTTCACAGCTCCCTCTAATTGATCATTCTCAACTTGATTGTTTGAGTGCTCAGAAGCACATATTTGATGACTAAATTACCAACTAATCCTGCAGTTGTGAGTTAGCTCCACCTTTGTTAACATACTTCCACGGACGGTTAATGGCGAGATCAAACAAGTGACGAGGACGATGGTCGGCAAGACCAGCAATATGGTTCCCATCCAGCCCAGGAGCGTGCTATCTTCCTGCCACCCCGTCGAGCCCGGCACGCGAGTTTCTCTCCTCACCCATGTCCAAGAGAAGGCAGTTGTGCCACTAATGAACTACATTTTTAATATGATGAAAAACAGAACATGCAAAAAATTGAAACCCCGTTTAAAAAAAAACCACAAACAAACCCACCGGATTCACCGTGAGTATAAAATAGGAGGAAGGACTATCCAAGGTCGCTGCTCATTTCTCTTCCAGCAATGAATTAACTCATTCTAGATGCCCAATTCCTTTGACTGCTCAGAGACCAGGACACTATTATTATTATTATGCTTTTTAGTGAAAATTGAGGGAAAGTATCCATTAAGCATTTCAGCCTATGCCTTGTCATCCGTTATTTTTTCTCCTTCACTGTTAAGTAGCAGACCTGTACTTCCATTTGCTGCACTCGTGCTTTTTGTGTACTTAACACTTCTTCTTATTCCTTTTACAACCTTTACTAATCAGTATCTCATTTTGTGCCTGTGCCTCTTCTGATTTTGCCCTTTCATGTCTTCATATTCCCATCTTCTTACCCCTGTTTTTCTTTTAATCCATTTTCTGTGACTTCCTTTTCACTCACACGCCTTTCGAAAGCCCTTGGTGCAAGTACCATATATTGATCTTTTACTTTTTCGTATTTTGGTTTTATCTAAGAGAGTATCTGCTGTTGTGCACAGTTTTTTGTTCTTCATAAACTTTTGAAAAGCTTCACCTGGATTTTTCCATAGCTTTTCTCATCCCAAACCTCAATGAAAGGCTAATTTTCCTTACTTTCCTGTACAGTGCAGGAGGGTTTAGAAAAACGTTACTAATGATCTTATTTTGTTTTCATGGAAGGGCTGGTATCATTTGGAATATGCACAATTTAATCAGAATTGCAAGGCTTGTTTTTTTTTTTTTAAAAAAAAACCAACTTGATAACAAGTTTAATTTTGACCAAAATCACAAGAGGACATATGACTACAAATCCTACTGCTGGATTACTGAACAGCTGTGACTGAGATTAACAGGAATTACTCCAATGGCTTTCTCTTCAGCCAGCTGGATTCTTACATAGTACACAGAAGCCCAATTTCATCCCACGGCAAAAAGCTTCTGCATAGGTCCAAGAGTAGCTGGCCAGTTCCTGCAGGAGCTATTTGTACACCACCAAAGGTGATTAAGTATGCAATTAGAACAGAAGTATTTATCTGAAACCATGCAGTATTTAGCTACATTAAGACATAAAAAAGGAAAATATCTAACCGTGCCACAATTTAAGCTTGGTGTTTGGGCCAGTATAGGCTCGTTACACAAACAAAGCATTAGAAAATTCATACCAGATACATCGCAAAAGAGGTTCTGTGTCCCAGTTCACCAGTATTTCAGACTACGGAAGCGTTTGAGTATCACAGAAATTGAAAAGTATGAAATAAATGATTCAACACAAAAAATAAGAGATAAATTATATAAAATAGATACTCAACAATGAGGTTACTGCTGTGTGCTGCATGTTCCAGAAACACATTACTGCATTTCTCTTGAGAGTCATACCGTGTTAGCAAGAATCAAACCTACCCCAGGCTTTCAAGAACCAATGTTACTCAACCTGACCCAAGTCCAAAGGGCCAAACGCTGCACCATGTTTCTCTATCGGCCTTGGCCCACAACAAGGTAGCTTGAAGAAGCCACTTGTCTGTACCAATGCTCATTTTCGTTAAGTTATCACTGTAGGTACAAATTTTAAGTGAATCCTCTCATGGCACTTGGTTTAATTAAAGGAAACTGTAATATAAATGCTAGCAGTCAGAAGACGCTTGCTTTAACATTTTCAATTATTTCATTTTTCACTTCATTAAAAATCATGTCACTATTTTATTTCACTGAAAATATAAGACTATTTCTACATTATCTAGTACGGTGCTACGTGGAAAAACATCTTAGGATTAGGATTCACTCCAGAACAGGACACAAGACAGCTGCAGTAATGCTGCCAAAGACTAAGTTATCTAGCTCTGCTCCCAATTGCTCCAGGCACAGTCCTGTGCTATTCAACTCTACTGTTTTGGGGGCTCAAGTTACCATTTTTGCAAGATGTTGTGCAGAATAGCAGCTCGGTCCGAGATAGCGAAGGAATACCTAGCTGGTGCGAGGTTGGATGATGCAAGCATGTTCTGTAAAAGCAGTTCAGAGTACCTCATTTGTTGTCACCAGGCACATGACTCACTTGAGCAATCCTGCACGGTGGAACATGTAAAGCTCCTGACCAAGTTTGGAAGTACAGAAAGGGACAGCCCGAACAAAACTCCGGATCAGGTGGAACTCGGGTACATGATGTGGCACAAGGGTGACACAGAAGTCTTTGTCCTGAAAAAGATTTGCAGGCAACAAAGGCTCTTAGTGATCTCAATGCCAGCTTTACACAAAAGTTTCTGATCAGAAGGGACAGAAAGAAAACAAACCGAACGCAGCGCCCACAACACACGTACACTCCGGGTATTGCTCTGCCTAGTTGGCTTGACACCTGGGCAGCACAAGGAACTGAGGAGCTCAACATCGATTTGGCTCACAGACACAGGTCTTTTAGCTCCCATAGTAAAGACTTATTAGTCAATATCCTGATATTCCCGAATGGCTCTTTTTTTCCATTCCCCCTCCTGTCTTTTCTTCCTCAATAAAATTGAATATTTCAGTTGGAAGAGACCTACAATAATCATCTAGTCCAACTGAGCAGGAACATTATCTCTATGCTCACACTTTTAGGGCTAACATTTTCCCTTAAAAGGTGCTTTTCTCTACCCTTACTGTTCTTCCGCAGGGAAGTTTCAGGACAATGTATGTCTGCCTGGGATCTTTCGCACATTTGCAGCCCAGTGAGACCACCAACTAGAGCAGCATGTCCTAAAATCCTGAACTAACAGCCAGTGCGTACACATGGATTGACTCTGCGCTGCGTGCACAGGAGACTTGATGAACGCAGGTTTGTAGACGCGCAGTGATGTCCAGCTTGTCCCGAATTTGGCCCTGCTGGCGTGCACGTGCTACACACTGCATCTCTCAGTACTGCACTGTTCAGAGACCGGTGCTGTAAAGGCTGCAGAGGTGCAAAGGAATGCAGGAATCTCCACGGAACACTCTCAGATGAGAGAGAGCATCCTCTGGAGATAAAACTGCGTGCCACAAATAACTTCATCCATTCAAACTGTTCAAGCACTCTCTTCCACCAGACTCTCTCCCATCCCTTTTTGTTCAATGCACATTTTAAGACAATCTCACTGCACACGGGGATGCTGGAGAACTCCAACAATTCAGAAAAGATGCTTCATGCAGCATGATACATGCTGAGCCACTCCCAGGTAGCACAGATCTGGAAGATGTTTAATCTCTCTACTCCAGTTGATTATTCTATGGCCTTTTCTCAGTAGAAAGATATTATTTGAATCTCCCTCCTCTTCGTCTCTTTAGGTATGCTGTGATTAATTTTCTTTACTACACCTGGTGATTCTATCATGACATTTTGTTTCAAGGAGCAACAGGTGCATTGTTGGATGGATGAATTAGAGATTTGAAATGTTTTCTGTGCTCCCTTTCTCTGGGAACTTTGGCGGTAAGGAGCATTTTTGAACATGCTGACATTTAGGGCCAAGTCTGCATCTCTGGTCTCCAGGACCTGTTTCCAAGGGACGCTACCATGCAGCAATTTGTAGCATGAATTTAAAACACGCTGCAGGGTGCACTACGAACGTCTCAAAGTGGACTTTGTTATCTCAGATAAAGATTGATCACGCAGGGCATTAGCGTGAAATAGCTCCTGCACTGTAAATTCATATCCTTATTTGCCACACATCAGCTTTGCTCGAAACATAGACCTGCAGTGCCACTGTTTAGGCTATAGGTAAGTACTATGGATTTACTTAATACTGCTGTTTTCTAGGCTTTAACTCCACCTCCTTTAATGTATTTTCCCTGATTTCATTTTTATTTTAGGTATAGGCTGGATCTATACATGATTTTATCTATGATTTTAAAGGAGTTTGAAACATTTGCTTTCTAAACCTGTGCCACAGAGAAGTCCCTGTGGAACACAAACGAAGGACTTATGTACACAACACAAAGTCCAAAAGCAGCCCAGGAGGGGAGTCAAACTGCTTGTGGCAACTCAGCTGTCCATGGTAACTGGCCACAGCGAACTCCTGTCAGTCACTGACTTGACTTGGGCATCATACCTAAATACTCTGACAACTGCACCACTGTCCCACCATGCACACACACACGTACAAACTTTAAAACTTTGATTATACCTACTGGAAAAAGCTTGAAAGCATAATTCAGAAAATCCAGCGATCTGCAACCAAGAGTAAACATTGTTAAACAAAGCATGAATCAGGCAGATCCTATACATTTCGGTATTTACATCCCCATAAGTGCAAGGAGCATCTATTCACAGCACTGTATCAGACAGTCCTGCTAGTTCATCATTAATCAACTGCAGATGTTGCACGCTGCTCATCAGTTGTTGGCCTCTAGTGCTTAAAGCTTCATCATTAACAGGAATAAACCTGAATGTCTGAAATAATATCAAAACATCGGGCTCTTCACTGAAAGGAAAAAAAAAAAAAAAAAAAAATCGACTCTCATGTTATTGGCTCCAACATTTTCCAGAAGTTATTCACGGACTGTCAGAGCAGCACTAGCATAAAGCAAACATTAATTGAGGTTACAAACAGTTGTTGCTAAGTTCCACAATGTTTCCATCCAGTACCGAGAGTTCTGTCACCATCCACTCGGCAAACCTATTCGATGCACTTTATCAGAATAACAGCAACATCAATACTTTGAAATTGTTTTTGAACACTTTACTTCTTTCCACTTCTCACCCTACTGGTTTAGAGTAACTCCTCTCTCTTTTCCATGGTGACAGTGATATGTGACATTGAGTTTAAAAAGACACGAGAAATCTAACTAATTCTTCCTGCTTCTCCTATGTGTAAGGACATCAAAGGGCTCTAAACCCACGAAATAGAGTTATGCTGAAGCTTTATAAAATATTTTTCCACCGTACAAAATGTGCCTTTTGAAGACATTCAACACAGATATGTATTACCTAAAAATATTGATAAACCCCTCCTCCCTCCAGACCTGTAATTAAGTTCCCTTTAATTACTTCACTAATAACATTACTGAATGAAAAGAGAAATCATTTCTAATTAAAATATCTATGATTGGATGAAAACTTAAAAAACCCCAACTATAAATACAGATCTGGATTGGGGTACTATTTATTCACCTATATAGTTATGACTAGTTAATAGAACAGCTACACGGGGGAAAGGAAAATGCCATTGCGACGTAGCTTTCTACTCCCTGGTACCCAGTGCCTTCTTGGCAGCAAGGAACACAGCAACAGAGGTAGATTTTTCAGGGGGCTTAAAAAGGTACCAAATATCTGCAGATAAACCAGCAATCTAGTTCCTTCACATTTCACTTCCAATGCACTACCAAGCCACATACCAAGGTCTAGAATCAAGAGATGTAAACATTTAGCAACTTTTTAGCACAAATTCCCCAGTAGCAAACGTCCCTTGAGGGCTACGATGCAATCATAGATTTCATAGATTTCTAGGTTGGAAAAGACCTCAGAGATCATCGAGTCCAACCATCCCTAATCCCCCATTAAACCATATCCCCAAGTAGATCATCCACCCTATTCTTAAACACATCCACACCTACACTTCAGCCAAACCACTATTTCTGGACCCATGTAACTCCTTCAGGAAGGTTCTGAGATACGGTCAGGATTATCTCCTGCCATCCTTCCAACACATTTGCTTTTCTAATGTTTCTTTGACAAACAGGTGGATCAAGCAAATGCAAGCTAGGGAAGCATACACGCAAAATCTTTGAAAACACCAAGATCTACAGATTCCTCAGTTCTGAGGAGAGGATCTTGCATGAATTCATCTTAGCAGAAGCCTTCTGAAAGGAATGCTATCTTCTTCACAGATACCCATCTTGGAATCCAAACCATTCCAGAGATGGCTCCAGGGAAAAAAGATTGGGACTGCAACACTGAATGATAAACATGGTGAAAATATCTCGAAAAGACACAATGGTGCGTACAAAGGAATGTCAGAAGGGGGTAAAAGAGTGACAGATCCTTATCCTAAGCTGGATCCTATGAGCAGAGAACTCAACTAGTTCACAGAAAGATTATTTCCCCACATAGGTATAGATCATTGCTTCAGATCGCTTTTTCAGTGTAATGGAGTCATTCCAAAGCAAGTCCCTCACCTCAGTTACTATTTTAAGATAAAGTTATTTTATTCTGGAATAATTATCTTGCTCGAATTTTACGTTAGACTAGATTGTCCATGAATTAACTATTCTAGAGTGGACTCTCTGCAGTGTGCTTGCTCTCTCGCATGCACGTTGGTCAGTGCTTCTAAGCACACCACAGACTTCTGGCACTGCATCTCTCTCTCCTCCGAACAACCTCAGCTATATCGCTCAGTAAATACGGACCAAGAATGCTACTAAGTTTGGCAACTTAGGAGATTTGCAAGTCTAGCAGATTCAGTGTTTAATCCTGTTGGGTAGGCCCCTTCCTTAACCAAGAAACAGCTTAATAAATAGAATTACTTTCAAGGAGTTCTGATTTTTCGTCTTAATAAAGTTTATTCCTAAATTTCCTTTAAGCCAGATAAGTTCAGATGTTGCCAGTCACCAATGATTACTACTACAAGTTGAAAGATGTTTTTTCAAACTGTAGTACAGTTGTCAAACTCCTCTATAAAGTCCTTGCTACTGATACCTTGTGTCTCTAGAAATTACATGTATTTTATTGAAGTGTGGAAGATCTTGGGTGCGTTCAGCCTCTTTCTGTCTACTTTTTTTAAGTATCTACATGTTTTGTCTCCCTTTCTAGGATCTATAATCAAGAGCAGGGCTCATTTATAATCAGAAAGGGCCACTGCTCCTGGAGATGCTCTTCCTGATGTGGTTGAGCACAGGTTCATTCTTCCAGGGTGCAGAGAAATTTAGAGGAAAAAAAGTTTCTAAACTACATTTATAGATCTATTCTACACCACCAGGATCTAAGAGTCCAAGGTCAGCAG